GATAACAAATATTACAGGTCTCAAGTTTAAAATAAGAAACATTTATTGAACAGTAAAAAATACTAAAACAAGATGGAAAGTTGAGGTAGAACAGGTAGAATATTATTATTATTATTATTATACATTCACTTAAATCTTTGAGTAATGTCTTTATAAAATAAACAAATATTTAAGCTGAAGCATAAATAAAACAACAACTACTGTACACAGTAGGATTCAACAGCTTTGTTCAACTTAACCACATACTTTCAAATGAAAAAAAGTGCCAGGGAAAAATAAATCCGCGAACCCACGCGCATATCGGCCGATGCCGATACAAGTAAAAAACTCAAATATCGGCCCGATATATCGGCCAGCCGATGTATCGGTCTATCCTTAGTATTTACCTCATGAGACAACAGCAGGGGCAAGCCATCATTTTTTCACAGTTTGAACCCAGAAGCATCAACATCAACCTTCAGAACAGAGTTTCTATGTCCTACTTATCAAAAAGAGAACAGCAGTGATTTTGACATGCTCAGATCGTGAAGGCCTGCCACCTTAATAGAGGCCAGTAGACCTTCAGGATTAATAGAGGACTGATATACCTGCAGTGCTTTGACCAGCACTCCATTTCTGCCAGCTTCTCCCACCAGAACAACCCTTGTCTCCACTTTTGGCAGCATATCTAAGAGAAATGAAGAGAGAGAGACAGAGTGAACAAGGAAGAAAAGGGTACAAGACATACAAAAAACTGGAAGACGGATTAAGGAAGAGGTTATCTCTAGGAGGTGATGAAGGTTTTCCTACATTTTGACTTACAGCAAAGGTTTACAGCCACAAATTTGCAATACATGCATCACTGATTAAGAAGAAGAAGGAGAACAGCTGCATAGAAATTGCATAGAGGAGGATTCATCTACAAGTATTGTATGAAGCCAACATATGTTCCCTTAGTGGAACTTAAAGGACAACTTCGGTATTTTTCAACCTGGGCTCTATTTCCCCATGTGTATGTGTGGGTATGATTCATGGGTAACACTTGTTCTAAAATTGGTTCAGTATTGAGCCGCGAAACGAGCTAAAACGGTAATGGGGGCAAATGCGTCCCGTATAAAAGTGCTTTTTTTCGCCACTGACCGGTTCAGATCGCCAGTGATATCTCTGTAAATAGCATATAGTAGCGGCCCAGGGGCAGTGGTGACTGTGAATGAGTGGAGTCAGCTGTCAGTCAGTGTAGGAGCAGAGAGGCGGAAGGCGTCCCCACTCGGTATTGCAAATGGGAAATAGAGCCCAGGTTGAAAAATACCGAAGTTGTCCTTTAAGAACTCACTTTAATTCTCACATAAAAAGGACATGGCTCCTCATTGTATTTTAAATCCATTTTGACTCAATATAATTAGCTTTATGAAATGAATGCAACAAAAAACAAACAAAAAAAACCTGCCCTGAAATTAACTTTTAAAAGAAAAGGTATCACTTTTAATGTGGATGTCCACTCAGCGTTGATAGGAAACTTGGTCGCTCAAAGCAATAAATTCCTCAATGCGTGCCATATTGACCAAGAACTGAGTTTGCAGCGGCAAAATGACATGAAAGTTACATTATCGGAAATTTGAAATGTGAAATTATGACAACTTAAAACTGAATGTTTTATACACTATTTGTTCACTACACAACTATAACACAACTGTAGCCAAATCTAATGGCACAGTTTGCTATGGGATCAATCAGTCTCATAATGAATGAACTCGCGCAGGGTTTTTCACAAATGCACATGGTCTGGCAGTTGTATTTCGGACTCACTAATGCACACTATCTGTTTCGCAAATGCACACACTCTGGTTCACAAATATAATATGAGGCACACTTGTAATATAAATTCACAGATCATGCGAATCGCTGAATGTGCATTTACAAACTGCTTCTCATTTGTGAACCTCTCTACATTTGTGAGAGAAATCTGTGTGGTGAATTTTGAGACTCCCCTGACATCACAGGCCAACGAACATCACCATTGGCTGAATCTGTCAATCAAAATTATGATTCTGATTGACAGATTCATCAGTTAATCAGGTGTGTTCGCTGTCAGCCAATCGTATGGCTCCTTACATTTTCTCCACACTTTTAAACCAATCGCAGAGCTACTGAGCTACTGTTTGGAGTAGGGCTGGGCGGTATGACCTAAAATTTATATCACGGTATAAATCGAATCCCTTCACGGTAACGGTATATATCGCCGTATAAATTTAAGTGTAAAAGTTATAATAGAAGTGTTTCTGAATGGGTTTTGTAGTCCCTTAGCAAAGCTAAATTGATAAAAAAAAATAAAAAAAAACAACAAGAAAAGCAAAGATATAATGTATTTTTTAGAGCAATTATTATGCAGAATGCAGATCTCAAAACTCAAAATTAAAACCCAGTACTCTATGGTGCAAAATGTCCCCTGGGATCTATATCAAAAGGTAATTTCCTTCTTTTAGCAAAATCCTAAATGACTGAGTTGTGTTTTTTCCACCTGGACCTTTATGCTCTGCCATTTCTCCTCTAAGCATCACACTGTAACCTGTGACAGGCTGCTATGATACCACAACTATCACACATTCACATATGGAGTTTTTTGTGGAGCCCCTAGCGTCACATAGGTTTACATTACCAAAGGTTTATGACAAACTCTCTTGCCAAAAACCAACTCCCATGTGCGCACGGCGAGAGAGGAGAGGGAGAGAGGCTGTGCTGCTGCCAGAGGAGACACTGAATGAGTTCCCTCTGAGCGGTAAGTCGCTAAAAGAGTCTGAGAAGTCCGGGGCTGTTCATAAGACATTAACTCACTCACTCACAAGTTCTCCAGCAACACATGTTGCACGTTCTACACTAAATCACGGACGCATATACCGTGCAGCCCTAGTTTGGAGTATTCAAACAAGACGCACTAGACTGAAACGGTGGACGAGACATGGATCAATCTCAACCTGTAAGTAACACATTTATCTTATTATCCCCTCGTTGTAAATCATGCAATGTTATGAGTTTTTATCTCTGGTGGAATTCACTTACATTTTAGTGTACCATCAGCTTATTAATAGCATTTTAACCAAAACAAAGAAAAGCGTAAAATTTCCAGAAAGATAAGTGTCGCTTTAACTGCATGCCAAATTAATAAGAGCGCACAAGGCCTAATTGCCTCCAAAGTTAACTTGAGCACCTGCTGGAGAGCAATGTAGCATCTGAAAAGTTGTTTTTTTTTTTATGCAAAGCCTGGTGCAGTGCTCACTCCACATAAAACGCACTGGGGCTACATTACATCTCTTCCAGCAGAGAGCACTGAGGGTAAAACAGCATCACCATTAAGATCTAACAGCATATTCTCTGGTCTAGCTCAGCTTAAAGCATAAAGATACTGAATCCGTCACCAAGTTAGTGTGTTGTTGCAAACAATGTGGGTTTCATTAATCACTGGCAAACTTTCTGGGGAAAACCTGGTCTTATTAGGAGAGATGGTATTCATCTTACTTTGGCTGGAGCTGCTTTCATATCTTTGGAACCTGGCCAAGTTTATTAGTAATTCAAAACCCTGACAACCCAGAGTTGAGACCAGGACTCAGAGTCACAGTCCTACACGCTTCTCTAAGCTTCTAGTTCAGTTACCCAGCCATAGTTTTATACAAACGGTGTCTGTCCCCCGACCACCTAAATTATCTAAATCTAAAATTAAACAAAGAGGAGTTGTGCATAACAACCTCATAAAAATTAAAACCTCTTCTGTGACAGAAAGACAAAACAGGAGAATTAAATGCAGATTGTTAAATATCAGGTCTCTATCATCGAAAGCAGTGTTTGTAAACGATTTAATATTTGTTAATCATATTGATTTACTCAGCCTTACTGAAACCTGGCTGTGTCAAGACGAATATGTCAGTCTAAATGAATCCACTCTTCCCAGTCATAACAATACCCACATTCCTCAAGGTAGCGGCCGAGAAGGGGGGGTCGCAGCCATTTTTAACTCTAGTCTGTTAATCAGCCTTAAACCTAAACTAGACTATAATTCATTTGAAAGCCTCGTTCTTAGTTTTTTACATCCAACCTGGAAAACCTTGCAGCCACTTTTCTTTGTTAGAGTGCATCGTGCTCCTGGCCCGTATTCTGAATTTGTATCTGAATTCTCAGAGTTTTTATCCAGTTTAGTTCTTAAATCAGATAAAGTTATTATTGTAGGTGATTTTAACATTCATGTTGACGTTGATAATGACTCCCTGGCTACCGCGTTTATCTCATTATTAGACTCCACTGGCTTCAGTCAGGGTGTAAATAAATCCACTCACTGTTTTAACATTACCCTCGATCTAGTTCTGATGTATGGAATTGAAATTGATAACCTAACAGTCTTTCCATAGAATCCCTCACTATCGGATCATTATTTGATTATTTTGATTTCTTTTTACTCGATTACACACCACTCAGCAACAGTTACTATACTAGATGTTTATCAGATAGTGCTGTCGCAAAATTTAAGGAAAATATTCCTTCGTCATTGAATTTAATACCATGTCCTTCAGTAACAGAGGTTTCCTGTACTGACTTTAAACTCTCCCGAATTGATCATCTTGTCCATAGTGCCGTCAGCTCGCTGCGAAGAACACTCGACTCCGTAGCACCTCTTAAAAAGAAGTCAACAAAGCAAAGAAAGTTTGCTCCTTGGTATAACTCTCAAATCCATAAGTTAAAACAAATATCGCGAAAATCTGAAAGGAATTGGCGATTAACCAAACTGGAAGAACCTTGTTTAGTCTGGGCAGACAGTCTCAAAACGTGTAAGAGGGGCCTCCACAATGCCAGAGCAAACTATTACTCAGCTTTAACAGAAGAAAATAAGAACAACCCCAGGTTTCTTTTCAGCACTGTAGCCAGGCTGACTGAGAGTCACAGCTCTATTGAGCCTTGTATTCCTTTAGCCCTTAGCAGTAATGATTTTATGAGCTTTTTTAATGACAAAATTCTAACTATTAGAGGCAAAATTCATGACCTCCTGTCCTCAGATAGTACCTATCTGCCATCAAACACAGCTGTAAGACCTAATATATATTTAGATTGCTTCTCCCCGATTTCTCCTCAACAATTGACCGCAGTGATTTCTTCATCTAAACCAACAACGTGTCCCTTAGACCCCATCCCAACTAGGCTACTTAAGGAGGTCTTACCTTTAGTTAACACTCACTTATTAGACATGATCAATATATTAACACGCTATGTACCACAGTCTTTTAAGGTAGCTGTAATTAAACATCTCCTAAAAAAGCCCACCCTGGATCCAGAGGTATTAGCCAACTATAGACCAATATCTAATCTTCCCTTTCTTTCAAAGATCCTTGAGAAAGTAGTCACAGACCAGCTGTGTGATTTTCTCCATGATAATAAGTTATTTGAAGAATTTCAGTCAGGATTTAGAGTGCATCATAGCACTAGTTAAAATTACAAATGATATTTTGATTGCTTCAGACAAAGGACTCATCTCTGTACTGACCATCAAATTCTGCTACAGAGACTGGAGCATTTAATTGGCCTAAAAGGTTCTGCACTAAGCTGGTTTAAATCGTATTTATCTGATCGCTTTCAGTTTGTTCATGTTCATGATGAATCATTCTTACGTACTAAAGTTTGTTTTGGAGTTCCACAAGGTTCTGTGCTCGGACCAATCCTATTCACTCTATATGCTTCCTTTAGGTAACATCATTAGAAATCACTCTGTAAATTTCCATTGTTATGTGGATGATACACAATATTGATGAAGCCAGAAGAAACTAATCAATTAATTAAACTTCATAATTGCCTTAAAGACGTAAAAACCTGGATGAGCACCAATTTCCTGACGTTAAATTCAGACAAAATTGAAGTTATTGTTCTTGGCCCCTAACAACTCAGAGACTCTTTATCTGATGAAATAGTTTCTCTAGATGGCATTGCTCTGGCCTCTAGCACTACCTTAAAAAGCCTCGGAGTAATATTTGATCAAGATTTATCTTTTAATTCTCATTTAAAATAAATCTCACAGACTGCATTTTTTCATCTGCATAATATTGCGAAAATTAGGCCCGTTCTGACCCGAAAAGATGCAAAAAAATTGGTCCACGCTTTTGTTATCTCTAGGCTGGATTACTGTAACTCCCTATTATCAGGTAGCTCTAATAAGTCTTTAAAAACTCTCCAGCTAATTCAGAATGCAGTGGCACATGTACAAACAGGAACTAAGAAAAGAGATCATATTTCTCCTGTTTTAGCTTCTCTGCACTGGCTCCCTGTAAAATCCAGAACTGAATTCAAAATCCTACTGTTAACTTATAAAGCTCTAAATGGTCAGGCTCCGTCATATCTTAGAGAGTGCCATATTATCATAGTGCCATATTATCCCACCAGAACACTGCGCTCTGAGAATGCAGGGTTACTTGTGGTCCCTAAAGTCTCCAAAAGTAGATCAGGAGCCAGAGCCTTCAGCTATCAGGCTCCTTTCCTGTGGAATCATCTTCCTGTTGCTGTCCAGGAGGCAGACACCGTCTCCACATTTAAGACTAGACTTAAGACTTTCCACTTTGATAAAGCTTATAGTTAGGGCTGGCTCAGGCTTGCCTTGTACCAGCCCCTAGTTAGGCTGACTTAGGCCTATTCTGCCGGGGGACCTCTGATAATACACCGCTCTCGCTCGCTCACTCTCTCTCTCTCTCTCTCTCTCTGTCTCTCTCTCTCACTTTCACTCTCACTCTCTGCGTCTTGCTAACTCGGCTTCTTCTCCGGAGCCTTTGTGCTCCACTGTCTCTCAGGTTAACTCATATCGCAGCGGTGCCTGGATAGTGTGACGTGTGTGGTTGTGCTGCTGCTGTGGTCCTGCCAGATGCCTCCTGCTGCTGTTATCATTAGTCATACTTCTACTGTTATTATACACATATGATTATTGTCACATATGTATACTATCAGATATTAATATATACTTTCAAGGTATTGTACCACAATAGCCGGAATAATAATTATAATATTACTACTTTCATTATTGTTGTTGTAAGCTACTGTCATTACCGTCTGTCCTGCATCTCTCTGTTTTTCCTTATCCGCTGCAAGGGTCCTAGGGACAGAGGGATGTCGTGTGCTGTAAAGCCCTGTGATGCAAACTGTGATTTGTGATATTGGGCTTTATAAATAAATTGAAATTGAAATTGAAAATTGAAATTGTTGTTCACTACCCAAGTCTGATTGTAACACTAGACTACAGACATTATCTTCAATTCAACTTTCAGCTGACTTAAGCAGTTTAGGTAACAGACACTCCACTTTCCTGCTGTTATTTCAGACACGTGAACTAACCATAGACACCAGTCTAATTCATGGACTCACAGTGGTGTGCTGCTGCAGAGTGAATACAGTGAAAAGGATATTTCCAGTTTAAAAAAAAAAAAAAAAAAAAAAATTAATGATGTTTTTGGCCTGGCAGCCTGCCAGGGGAAACACTGATTTTATCAGACCCCCTCCAAGACAGTCCTGGACCAAAGACTGTATTTATGCTTCTATCAGGAGCTACTTGGTGTGGATCTATTTGTTTCTATTTGGCCGCATATTTCTTTGATCCAGCACCCACTCCATTGGACACAGCTTTGTGTCCTTTTTTTGTTACCCTTTTTTATGTAAGTGAGAACCTGTTCAGCTTTTCCCTGCCTTTTTTTTTTTTTTTTTTTTTTTTTAAAGGTATCCTCCCTGTGTATTGCTCTTAATTATTCCACAGTGTTCTTTGGTGACCAAGACTAATGACAACTCCCACACAGATGAGAGAGAGAGGCATGAGTATGTTAACATTGACTGTCACGGACAGTGATGCACACACCCACACGGTCTTCACACAGACCATGCTGGAGCCATAAGATAAGGGCCCTGCAATAAGTCCTTCATTCAGGTAACAGAGTTCAGCACTGTTTAAACCATTTTAGAGAGGTGTTGACTGATTCAACTTCATGGTCATTTTGGAGGCTGTAGTTTGTGTTTGATGCTATTGTGTAACACCAAGATGTGTTTCTGATATTTTGTCCTTATATATCCATGAGGGTAGACTACAAATAGAGAATAGGCAACAGCATCATGACGCATTGCATTCTGGGTAGTAGCATCCATTCTTTGGGACACGCCTCTTTAACAGAGACAAAAACAAGAATGGACAAAGAGCAAGTATAATATTCCCTAAGAGAGAAGCTGAGCAAGAAAGCAAATTAGCGCTACTTTGCTAAATTTAAGGATGCAAACAGCCCTGATTTGTACAAACTAGTGATGTGATCAGGTGGTTCGGGTAAGCTTGTTAGAAATATTGCAGGTTTCGGCTGGGTCATAAATGTGACAAAGCAGTGTTATGAATAAATTAGGGCTGCACGGTATATGCGGTAGACGGTAGAAATTATATACATTTGGCCCACGGTAGAGATTTGCGCTCTACCGTCCTATCATCGATGACGTCATCACACCTGCCTCAGTGTGAAAATGGCTGCGAGCACAGAGACAGCGGAGCAAGAGGAGCTGGTTCACGTCCGTGATTTAGCGTAGCACGTGCAACATGTGTTGCTGGAGAACTTGTGAGTGAGTGAGTTAATGTCTTATGAACAGCCCCAGACTTCTCAGACTCTTTTAGCGACTTACCGCTCAGAGGGAACTCATTCAGTGTCTCCTCTGGCAGCAGCACAGCGTTTCTCCCTCTCCTCTCTCGCCGTGCGCACACGGGAGTTGGTTTTCGCCAGGAGAGTTTGTCATAAACCTTTGGTAATGTAAACCTATGTGACACTAGGGGCTCCACAAAAAACTCCATATGTGAATGTGTGATAGTTGTGGTATCATAACAGCCTGTCACAGGTTACAGCCTGATGATTAGAGGAGAAATGGCAGAGCATAAAGGTCCAGGTGGAAAAAACACAACTCAGTCATTTAGGATTTTGCTAAAAGAAGGAAATTACCTTTTGATATAGATCCCAGGGGACATTTTGCACCATAGAGTACTGGGTTTTAATTTTGAGTTTTGAGATCTGCATTCTGCACAATAATTGCTCTAAAAAATACATTATATCTTTGCTTTTCTTGTTGTTGGTTTTTTTTTTTTATCAATTTAGCTTTGCTAAGGGACTACAAAACCCATTCAGAAACACTTCTATTATAACTTTTACACTTAAATTTATACGGCGATATATACCGTTACCGTGAAGGGATTCGATTTATACCGTGATATAAATTTTAGGCCATACCGCCCAGCCCTAGAATAAATCATTATAACTTTCGGAGATGTGCAATAATCCATCTTCAATCTACCCCCCTTGTTTGCCTTTCTGTTAGAGTACTTGCATTATGGGTTGAATTTAAATAAAAATTTTTTTGATGATTTGATCTGATGATCTGATTTTTACACATTAGAGTATAATCTCTGCTGAAACTGAAGGTGTATGGGTATTTAGAGAGGAGGAGGAGGAGGAGGAGGAGAAGGAGAAGGGACAGAAGAAAAAAATGGTAAGCCATGCAGACTGACCTTCCCCATCTTCACATGCCATGCCCAGAAATACATGGTCCTTGGTGGTTTCGGCGATCCTGGAATCATAGACCAAAGAATCCACGAGCAGACTCCGAGCTGTCCCTAAAGTCACTATGCTGCTGTCAGCCATGGCAGCAACTTATGGGGGCACCAAACTGTCCAAGTTATCAAAAGTTACAGGAAAAGAACAGAGAGGGACACAGAGGGAGAACATGGCAAGGCAGAGAGGAGAGAGAAAGTAAAGCAATAAGGAAGAAAAGAAGACGGGTGAGAACTGTCAAACTAAAGGCAAGAGATACAACTTGGTATGATTTCACACACAAATACTACCCAAGTCTGACAACTGGAGAGAAAGCAACATATTTGTGAACTCTGATAACTTTGATATAACTAGGCAAGGTGAAAAAGAAGTTTATACTGAAACTTTCAATTTGTTTGGTTGTTTACATAACAGCAGCCATACAACAGCATCTAGTGGGCTTCATAAAAATACCTGTCTTTGCAAATAAGTTGTGCAAGTGCAGTAAATCTCAGACTGAAACACTCATGGCTAAAACAGAGTACAAGGTACTGTGGTATAAACGTAAAACAAGCAATGAAGGTACATTTTTTCTTATAATTAAATAGTCACACTAATCAGGTTGATACCAAAAGCAATTAACGGCACTTTGAACTCGCTCCTGTTCAAGACATGCTTCGTCTAAAACAACAGGCAAAAAGACTCGCATGATAAGGCCAACCGGGGGAATAACTTTAGGGATAGCCTGTATCCAACTTCATCTTAACGATAGCGAAGTTAACGTTTGCTGCTTTCACCAAGACACACATTTCCTTTGCCTAACGTCACAGAGGCTAACTTAACTAAGCTAACGTTAAGTGCTTTATATGGTACGTTTTCAACAGCACAATGAGAACAAAATCAAAGTAAACTAAACTTACCGACTATTTTGGTGGCCGGTACCTTAGATAAAGGAATAAAAGTAAGGGCAGCGAGAGGAGCTAAACTAGCTGTCAGCTAGTTAAATTCAATAAGCTCTCTGGCTAACTTAGCTAACTTCCGAGCTAGTAAGTCAACAATACAATAAAGAATTCCTGAACATTCCTCGTCGGTCCTGACTCAGAAAATCTGTAACATCTCTACGTTATATCTCAAGTCCGTCGTCAATGCATGCTGCCCTTGTGCGTGAGAAATAGTCCAAATAAACGAAATGTGGTTGCTTTAGTTTGTTGACAGCTAGCTACTTCATAGAAGTCCCGACTAGGTGGCTGCCTGCTGTTAGAGCTCAATTCAAAAAGCAAGGCAAACAACGGTGCGGCGCGCTGATTGGGCAAGAGTGACGGACAGCCAGCGGCTTCCGTTTGGCGAGGGCGCTGATTGGTCCGTTCATTCAAATCACGATGCGCACTGCTGGGATCTTCGGATACTGTCGGGTTTTTTCTACTTTTCGAGACCAGAAAACAACGAGAGCTGATGTCTTTACGTCCCTAAATTTCATTCATTCATTAAATTTCATTTTACAGAAACTAGTGTAATTCTGCCAGCGTGACGCAACAGAACGGCCACGCCAACGAAAATATACAGCGACGCCATTCTCAGCTTATATCTACTCCTATACTTTATCAGCCTTTACATACTATCATGCAACTTAAACACACACACACACACACACACACACACACACACACACAAAGGCCCTTCCACTTCTCCTACACAGTAGCAAGACAAACAGACTTTGTGGTGGGTTTGCCTCTTTTTTTTAATTGTTATTATTATTATTATTATTATTATTATTATTATTATTATTATGATTATTATGCATGTCCTTATGCATTGATTATGCATTTGTGATTTTGTGTGTCTTTAAAGTTAGTTTGTGTCTCTTTGTAGTTATTTGGGTCTCTTATTGGATGTAGTTGTAGCCTCCTCCATTCTACAAACAAATAAAAATATTTAGATTAGAACATAAACAATAAAATGGGAAATAACATAGAGAAATATATTTAAAAAGTTGCACTATAGGAAGAATATACATATAACTATATATATATATAGATATATATATAGGCCTACTACTCAAAAAATTAAGGGAACACTTAAAACACACATCAGGTCTTGATGAATGATGTGTTGAAAATCTTCACTGATGTACATTGTATGATTTGTTGAGAACAAAATGACGTCACATAAGGATGTGCCATCCTGGAGGAGCTGAACTACCTATGCAACCTGATTGGGCTGCAGGTACCACCCGTACCACCTCATGCTGCCAGTGGTGACGAGGAGCAGAACACAAAACTAAAGAAGAATCAGTAAGGAAGGATAAGGAGAGAGCAAATGTCTGTGGCCACCACATGCAAAACCATTCTCTTTTTTTGGGGTTGTCTTGCTTTTGCCTCTTATTTGCACCTGTTGTCACTTTCATTTGCACCAAAGCAGGTGAAACTGATTCACAATCACTTGTGCTTCCTTTTGAATGAAAGTCAGAATATAGTGAATGAAAGTCAGAATATAGTGAATGAAAGTCAGAATATATCTAATGAAAGTCAGAATACAGTGTATGAAACTTGAGAATAGTGGTTTGATATCACAACAGTGACAAACAATGCTGAGGCTTGGGGCAAACATTATCGTTACCTGGCTGTTTATGAGGGTGGGTCTGGGAAATGTGGATGCTGCTCTGCAGGGCGCTCAATTTGCAGACATTAACTGTGGTGGCATTGACAACAAGGGAAGAGGAATAGGGAGGGACAGGGGCTCGATTCAGATACAGTTGTCGCACATATAACACACATTTGCAGTTGAGACTTTGCTTCAAGCTTTGGAAACTAAGTGAAACTAAGTGGAAACTAAGTGAGCCTTCCCACACATAAGTAAGGCAGAAAACTTGCACCCTTGAATGGGAAACTTGCTCTTGTTATGGTGTTTGTTAATCTGCGGGGTTAGTGTAATGAGAAGCCTATTTCTATTATAGGAATTGGCAAAATTTGTAAATGGGCTGTAGGCCTATATATTTACGACTGCGCTGTTCGGGTGTTTGGTTATTAAGTAGGCCTATCACTCTTATTTAAGAAAATTTGTCAATGTTGTTGCAAAAGACAATTATTAAAATGCGTTTTATGATTTAAAAAGTAGGCTAACTTCTTTTCATTGAAATTGAGAAACCGGCCAACTGGCTGTAAATTAAATGCTGAGTGTTTGTTAATAGTTTAATTCATTAAAATTTGCCAATGTGGCGTATATTAGGCTATTACATGGCTTGCTGATGGAACTAGTCTTACTTTTACTTTTAATGAATAGGACTGGAAATCTGCCAATGTGGCTGGATATTGTAAATGTGCTGTAGACATATTGTTTAGACTATTTGCTTTGTTGTTGTTGTTTTTAGCCTTGTAGTCTATTTGGTCCTAGTGGCAAATTGGTTGGTGCTTATTTTAGGACATTTTTGTTTATGTCTGCAGCATCAATACTTTATTTCCCAAACTGTAAATTAGAATATTTTGAGGGTGTCACAACAAATTAGACTATGTTTTCTATGATACTGTTATTTGTGTGTATGTTTGTATGGGTATTTGTATGTCTGGTGTGTCTCTTGTCTAATACTAGTCTTCATATGCAAGGGAAGGAAATAATAAACTACCAAAAATACTATGCAGAGTTTGGATGGTTTACCAAGAAAGGGACTGAGAATGGCACATATCATGTAGTCTAAGGAATAAAGTTACTGATATTGCTGAGATTTTATCTAAGGGTGTTCATGTATTAGCATTATCTGAAACTCACTTGGATGATACAATTAATGACTCGGTAGTTAGTGTTCATGGATATAGCCTACCATATTTAGGAGGAACAGAAATGCATTTGGAGGTGGTGTTGCAGCCTATTTTAAGTCTCATATACCAGCTAAAATAAGATATGATTTAATGTCCGCTGACACTGAAGCACTTTGGATACAAGTTCATTTACCTAATTTGAGGCCTTTGCCGATAGGCTTCTGCTACAGACCTCCGAATGCACGGGTAAATTATTTGGATGTAATATATGCGATGCTTGATGAAGTGTGTGATCTTGCTCATGAGATTCATATATTAGCTGATTTGAATATTAATTGGAATATGGATGGCTGTCCACTCAGAGATAAGCTATTGGCTGTGGCCAATGCCAGCAATTTAGTGCAAATTGTTGACAAGCCAACAAGTGTGTGTAAGGATTTTTGGTGCTGCAACAGCAACTTGTATTGACCATGTGTTCACTAACTTTAGTCATTTCTGTTCTAAGCCGTTATCTAATCCAGTGGGGTTTAGTGATCAAAGTTTGATTGCTCAAGTTAGGAAAACGAAGGTTCCAAAAGCAGGACCTAAAGTTTTCAGAAGGTCAATGAAGTTGTTTAGTGAAGAGGCATTTGTAGAGGATGTTGAAAATGTATGCTGGGAATCTGTACTTGTGAAGCAGGATCCAGATGATGCCCTGGGTGACTTTAATACATTGTTACATCTCTAACAAGTGTTAGAGAAACATGCCCCTCTAAGGAAATATACTGTGAGTAGCAAACAGTGGCTGGACAGTGAACTGAGGAAACTAACGATGGTAAGAGATGATGCAAAAAAAGTTGCTGTTCAGTCAGGCCTTCAGTCGGACTGGCAAAATTATATGAATTTAAGAAATTATGTAACTGCTGCTAACAAAAAGAAAAAGCATTTGTTCTATTCACCTAAAACCAAAGATGTGAAGAATGATAAGAAAAAACTATGGAATGTAATGAACGGCATAATGGGTTATATGCCCGGATCAAATCCTGCTTATCTTGAGGTGGACGGTAAATTCATATCAAAGCCTTTAAACACAGCTAACTATTTTAATGATTATTTTTATGATAAGGTTAATAATTTGAGAAGAAATATGACACATGTAAATGATGATGTCTCAACAACATTAATTAAGAATTTAATAATGATAAATAAAAATTGTGAATTTAACATCGAAAAGGTGACAATCAGTAAGGTTATTAGGCTTCTGTATAAAGGTAAGGATAGTCCACCAGGTGTGGATAACCTTGATGCTAAATTTCTCAGTATTGCTGCTGATTCAATTGCTGTTCCTTTGTGCTATATTTTTAATTTATGTATTGAGAAAGGTGTTTACCTAAAGGCTTGGAAAATTGCCAGAGTTATACCATTACGAAAGAATCCTGCAGCATCTTTCTCTGGGGCAAATTGCCGACCTACTAGTTTGTTACCTGCTCTAGGAAAAGTAATGGAGAGAATTATTTTTGAACAAATTCAATATTATTTTGATAATAACAAGTTAAATAATGATTTTCAACATGCATTTAGACCGATGCACTCCACATGTACAGCTCTGACGTAAATGACAGATGAATAGCGTACGGATATGGATAATGGATAATGGAAATTAGTGGATGTCGTTCTACTTGATTTTAGTGCTGCATTTGATGTTATTGATCATCCTTTGTTATTAGGAAAGCTCAAACAGTATGGTTTTAGTTTGTCTGCAGTGAAACTGATACAGAGCTATTTGTCACATAGGAGTTAAACTGTTTATTTTAATGGTAGTTTGTCAGATATTAAATATACGTATTGATTGTGGGGTACCCCAAGGGAGCTGTCTTGGACCTTTATTATTTTCCATTTTTGTGAATGATCTCCCACTTGTTCTTGATAAGACTAGAACTGCAATGTATGCAGATGATTGTACAATATATGCAGCAGATTCATCAACAGTTAGGTTAAATAAAAAGTTACAGCAGGATTTAAGGTTAGTGTCAAAATGGGTAACTAAAAATAAACTAGTTTTGAATGTGGGGAAAACTAAATCTGTTGTTATTGGTTCAAGGTATCCACTGAGAGATGAACCTGTTTTGGTATTAAAAATTGAAAACATTCCTATTGAACAAGTTTATGAGACTAAACTTCAAGGCATAACTGTAGATCAGCACTTGACATGGTCCAAACATATTGATCATATTGTAAGTAAAATAGGAAGAGGGGTCTCAATGGTAAGAAGAGTGTTAGATAAACATAGATTCAGTAAGATTGTTATTCACGTCGGCGGAAATGACACCCGGTTACGCCAATCGGAGGTCACTAAAATTAATATTGCCTCGGTGTGTGAATATGCAAAAACGATGTCGGACTCCGTAGTTTTCTCTGGACCCCTCCCAAATCTGACCAGTGATGACATGTTTAGCCACATGTCATCATTTAATCGCTGGCTGTCCAGGTGGTGTCCAGCAAACAATGTG